TGGACCCTTGGCTTTGGACTCTGACCCTGGGCTACGTTGTGCGTTTTGGCTTTGGACTCTGACCCTAGATTACGTTGTGTGAGTTGGCTTTGGTATTTGCATTCTCTGAATTTCTGACATAGGACTTGCTTATCTGACTCTGCTGTTGTAACCCCTGGGAACGTGACACCCTGATAGACAGAGGGAGTGCTGTAGACATAGTATATCTTGATGTCAGCAAAGGTTTTGACAAAGTGCCCCATGATATTCTGATTAGCAAGCTAACTAGGTGTGTGCTGGATAGAAGAAATGGCAGGCGGATATACAGTTGGCAACAGAATTGTACTTGGAGGGTGATGATTAATGGCTCCTTCTCAAACTTGGGTGGAAGTAAAAAGTCGGCTCAGGGCTCAGTCCTTGGCCTTGTGCTGTTCAATATTTTTATTAATGACCTGGATACAGGGAATGCTAATCAGATTTGCAAATGACACAGAATTAAGTGGAATAGCTAGTACCCTGGAAGACAGAAGCAAAATTCAAAATTATCTAGATAGGCTTGAGCACTAGATTCAAAATTATCTAGATAGGCTTGAGCAGTAGACTGAAAACATGAGAATGAAATTCAACAGGGATAAGTGCCAAGTTGTACACCTAGGAAAAAGAAACCAAACACACAGTTACAAGATGGGGAATACTGTCGTGCCTCGACTTACGAACATCCCTAGTTACAACCATTTCGAGTTTCAACCAGCTCCGGCTACAAAATTTTGCTTCAATTTGTGGCTGGAGCTTTGAGTAACAACCAAAAAAAGGCAGGGGGAAAAGGCAGGAAATTCAAACCATTGGTGGTGAAAAGACTGCTTCTTTGTAGCTCTTTCGCTCCAACAGGGAAACGGATGTGGGGGTGGGGAAGGTGGTGGCGGGGGCATCCCTTGGCGCTCCTCGCCACCCTCCGCAGGGCCAATGCCACCGCTACTGCTGGGTCCCAGTCCTTGGCCTCGGCACGGGGGCGGAGGGGCCCCCGATCCCGGCTCCCAGAGGAAGGGTCCTCCTGCGCTGCCACCTCCTCATTCATGGCGGGGCCACACTCAGCCCTTGGGTCCGCGGGGGGTGGCTCCCCTTCTCCACCAGTGGGTGGCTCCTAAGCAGCAGGTGGCTCGCCCACCGGTAGTGCCTGCTGCCGCCTCCTGCTCCAGCACCGGCGGCTGCTCGCTGGGACGGTCACAATGGCTCTTGGCGCTCCTTGCCATCCTCTGTAGGGCCAATGCCACTGCTGCTGCTGGGTCCCTGAGCAGCAGATGGCTTGCCGGCCTGTGCTGCCCGACGCCACCTCCCACTCCGGCACTGGCTCCAGCGCTCTTCGCCGCCCTCTGCTTGGCCGATGCCTCCACTGCTTATATAGGCCGTGGTGAGTCTAACTTATTTCTGACATTGCGAGATGGGAATGATACAAATAGCTGCTGTAATATCAACTTACAAAATCAAAATCTATTTTCATATCTAGCTATCAATCTATTTAATTTATGTCCTACTTTCCTCCTTACAAAAACAGAATTCAAGCATCTGATAATAAACTCAAATATATGAAGTATAATAAAAAGTATAGAGACTATTAGTCAGAACATAAGACAAATTACAGTAAGAGGCAGCTGAAACAACCAGTGCTTAGAATCTGTTAAGAAAAACAGCAGTGGATCAAGAGGAAAGCAATGCCAACTTCATCTACTACCAATGTCCTAGTATTTGGAGGGGAGAAAGAAATGCAGGCAGGAATGGCTACACAAGAAAGGAAATACTTTGCCTTTTAAACTGTTTTGGCCTACAATTCCCATCAACCCTACCAACCATAACTAGTAGTATATGACTGTGGAAGCTCTACTCTAAAAAGTCTGACAGGCCAGAGGTTTCTCAATTCTGCCATAATTCTGTCCTTCATGGTTCATAAAAGTAATCCCAATTCTTATGTAAGGTCATTGCTGCTGAAACATATTGCAATTTGCTTTCTAAATAGATGTTACTTAGCGATGTTACCTCTGAAGAAATGCATATATATTTTCAGTGACAAAGCAATATTTTTCATTGCAAAATTAGATGAAATTAAAGAAGGACTGTGTTTTGGATGAAGAGTGTTGATGTATTACCTACGTAGTTCTGGATTTTAAGGAGCAACAAAAATGAAAATATTGCAATCCCTTGGAAACAAACAATTTTATTTCAGTGTGAGCTTGA